TTTGGATGATATTGGTAAATGCATATTGAAGTTTGAATCTCCTAAGGCGCTCGCCGTATTCCCGGCTCTTACGGATGTAATTATAATTTCTTTATATTCTACAAATTGATATTTTGAAGTTAATTTTTTTATAATTAATGGATATTGGATTATGTCTGTATGATTTCCATTAATTATTTCATGATTTGTTAATATATACTGTTTAATATCAGATCTAAAATTTTTTCAAAAATATATTATTTCTTTTCTTTTATCATGATATAACATTTCACCATCATCATAATATACAATTTCTTCAGCTTTTTCAATAGTTATATTACTATTAAATTCTATATCGAATCTAAAATTTATAAAGTTATCATATGATCCTTTGTGAAAAATTCTGCAAACTTTGCAGCATAAACATTTATCATTACATGGTTGTTTGTTATCATCTCTAAATTTAAAATATTCAATTATATAATCAAATCGTTTACTTGCTGCTGAGTAATATTTTCTGTTTGTTACTTTATATCCATTACTATATTGTACAAATGGTATATCTTCATAATAAGTATATTGTTCTCTTAGAGATGAATTTGCTATAAAGACTTGTACTTTTGGCATATAATTTACATTACCATCTTTAAATTGAACTGAAAAATCTCGTCTATCTAATAAATTTAATAACTTTATATATTTAAGATCACTTCCAGAAAATTCATTATAAATTACTACATCATATTCATTATTTTTGTTAAAGTTCAGATACCATTTTCCATCTTCGTTTGATTTATCATATGCATCTGGAAATAATATTTGAGCTAAATATGATTTTCCTGTTCTGAGAACACCATAAATGTAAATATTACAAGTTTTCCAGCATCTTTTATGCATTGGTCTTTTGTTTATATTTTGAAAAGTATTATAAACATCTTCAATTCCTTTAGTTGTTGCTGTTAATGTTTTAATATCACTATTATATTTAACTAAAATTTTATCTTTTGTTAAATTTTGTTCCTCAATATCTTTAGTTAATTCTTTCCATTTTTTTGTATGTTGATTTTTTCCTTCAATATTTTTTGTTTTTGCAATTTCACCAAATTCATAAGAACAAGAATTTTCTATATCATCATATCGAGCAGGTAATCGATATTGCTAACAATTCTTATTACAATAGTTGCAAGCTGAGTAATCATAACGATCAAATAGATTACATTTACAAGGTGTAGTTTTACTATTATGATGTAGAAAATATCTATTAAAATCTTTTCCTACATAGTCAAAAGCTTCTTGAATTGTTCCATTATTATAATCTAAATGCATAGTATTGTTTTTAAATAATCCTTTTATTCCAGATAGCATTTCTTTTCGTGCAATTTTACTAACACCTTTTTTAGTTTTATATTTTTCATTTTTTTTTATATATCTTCCAATTCTTTCTTGTTTTGTTAACATGCAAAATCCTTGTATATGTTTGTTGATTATCTTAACATCATGATTTGGATCATATCTTTTGTTATTTATTAAAACTTTAAGCTCATCAATATTATAGTTATTTTCAAATTGATATTTGATTTTTTGTATATAGTTTGATTTTGAATGATAATGTTTTAGAATTAATTCATTAAATTCTTCTAGATTTTTAAATATTGTAAACATAAATCTTCTAAAATAAATTTGCTTTTCATCATCATCATCATTATTTTGTTTAGTTTTTAGTTCAGACATTTTGTAAATAATAAAACTAAATTTACGTAAATAAAATTCTACTTGGTACAATTGTACTAAGTAGATATATCTTTATTAAAATTGATATTTGTAATATGAATACATAAATTAATATAATATTTAATATAAGTTTTAGCACGAGAGATACTAATAATAGGATGATATTTATCAATATCAAAGAATTTTATATTCTTAACATAATAAATTTTATCAAGTTTTAAATATGCGTGTATATTTTCATTAATAGTAATAATGATATATTCTTTAATTTTCTTCTTTTTCTTATCAAATAGTTCTTGAAGATGAT